AGAAAAGTCTTCAAAAAAAAAAAAAATTAAACAAAAGGTGAAGTGGCAGACAAAACTTTACAAAATTGTTGATATCATGTTCACCCTTCGCTTTAATAATTAAGGTTGTACTTGCACTGACCATACGAGAAAAAGTTGAACCCTTTCCCTTTGGATGACGTTTGCAAGCTACACCCCACCTACGTCTTCTAATCTTCAATTGGCCTGCGCTCTACTCGTTAAACCAAGATGTAAGTGACCAAATGTGACAGTTCTATGGTCAACACTTAGTTTCATACCTGGCAAAAGCACATCCTCCAGATAATTGAAACTTTGCCACAATACCCTCTTCACCGTTGATCCGTTTTGAGCAGTTTGGTAAGTTCCGGCTATAAATGATAAAAACTCAATTAAACGTCAAATATCAAATACCTAGTGAATCTATACGCAATATTGCCAATTAAAAAACTATAATCCACAAGAAAACCTACTTTCACAGGGAATACAACATATACAAAAGCAAAGCAATGTATCGTCCAGCAACTGCGGTATGCAACTGAGGTATTAGACAAGCCATTTACTGATATAATTTGCAACTCCCTTCTACTTATATCAGACTCAATAAAATTTCTTCTTGTGAAGAACGCTGGCCTTGTAGGTAGTGGCATTGAAATGGTTTCAGTAGTCAACATAGATATGGCGTCAGACATGGAGGGCCGATCAGCTGCATTTTCTTCCACGCATAACAGACCAACATGGAAGCATCTTAACAATTGATCTTCAGTACATGAATCCTTTAGTGTTGGATCCATTAGCTCTAGCCCCCTGCCTTCTTTCCATAACTCCCATGCCTGAAAAAAATATTGCACTAATTTAATTAAGTTGGTGAAAGATTCATGGTATATATATATATTCACAACTCAAAAAAGAAAATGTTAATCGTAAATTTGATTTGTAAGACGTACATATCCTACTATATTGAGCACGCGATCAGCATTGTAGAAGCTACTATTTCTCCTACCACTAATGATTTCAAGCATTAACACCCCGAAACTATAGACGTCAGATTTTATCGAAAAAGTCCCCTCCATAGCGTACTCGGGAGACATGTAACCACTGTATCATATAAAAACCAAATATATTTAGTATATGTATGTAAGTACAGGTTTAGCAATGTCAAAGTGGTGAAAGGCATAATAATTTATAATGTATGATCTACTTACTATGTTCCAACAACCCTATTAGTATTTGCTTCAAGTTCATTATGTGTAAAAATTCTTGCCAAACCAAAATCAGAAATTTTGGGCTTCATATATTCATCAAGTAGTACGTTACTAGCTTTTAAATCTCTGTGAATTACTCTCATTCTTGAGTATTTATGCAAGTAAAGCAGTCCTTGAGCGATTCCTTCAATTATGTTGAACCGCTTCGTCCAATCTAGTAGCATCGCTTTGGTTGAATCTGTCCAAATATATCCATGAAAATAGCTTGAAATGTCAGATTATTCGAATAGAAGAAATCAAATAACTAAGATTAAAGTGATCAAGAATCTTAATTGCCGACCAAATAAAAAGCAGTCCAAACTTTTGTTTGGCATGTAGGCATAGATTAACATCCTCTCTTCCCCATGAATGCAGAAGCCAAAAAGCTGAACGAGGTTTGTATGTTGGAGTTCAGATATGAGTATCAATTCATTCTTAAACTCCAAAGTTCCTTGCCCTGAACATCTTGAAAGTCTCTTCACAGCAATTTCTCGTCCCGTCAGAAGTTTTCCCTTCATTAATAATACATAATATAGCACCAAGTAATCAGGTTTATATTTTTCAGTTATTAATACAAAGACACTCATTTTTATTTAAAACCTTAATTACCTTATAAACAGGTCCAAAGCCCCCCTGTCCGAGCTTGTTTTCTTCAGAGAAGTTAGTTGTGGCAGCCACGACAGATGCGTAGCTAAATACTGTCAAATTATTTCCCATCTTTCCATCATTTTGAAGCCCGTTGACATTGCTAGTGGATCTATCAGATTCCATCCATTCAAGCAATTCATTCTCAACCATCGGGTTGGTCTCCCCTGTTTAGATTATTGTTGAAGAAAATTAAAATTTAAAATTTCCAAAGCCTTCATAGATGTTTAAAGAGTCTACCTGAAAATAGTTTCCTCCTTAGTAGA